TACTTTTTCAATATATCTCATTTTTATTTTAATTAATATTATTACTTTTTTTACTGCAAAATTTTTTTTGCAAATGCTGAGGTTAACATTGCCATTAGTTTAACTATGCATAGTGGAAGATATTATTAATTTTCTCCCTCCTGTAGTTTGTTCATGCTTATGCTTATTATAGTTGCCTCCAACAAAATAATAATTTAGGTTTTATTTTAAATGATTACACTGCCATTAATTGCATATTCTACATCAACTGGTTGGATTTCTTTAGTGAAATTTGTGGATCAAATCTAAAGCGTCACTCCAATTCTATCCCTCTGTCCATGTTCTTGATGGACATAAGCTAATATGCTTTGAATTGTATTTGCAAATGTCAACTTTGGATTCAATTTCCGACACTGCACACTGAACTGCTCTATAACAATTAATAACGTTGTTCATCCAGCAGCTGGAAATGCTTCTGGCACTCTTGTAAATGGCCTTCTTCACCACTGTAGCCTACTGACAGCTGCATTACCAGAGGAGGAGCTTCTTTCAGATACAGAGGATGTATCTGATGATGAAGGTTTCTATTTGAGTTCATCTCAGGCATCTATTCGCCCAGGGATTGTACACAGATTGGACAAAGGCACTAGTGGATTGCTTGTTGTTGCAAAGGTTATTTTCTTTCCAGGTCATGGGCTGTGCCAGCAGTAGCTAACTCAAGAAAATGGTTTATCTGTTCTGTGTTTAATGGCAGAATTGAACAGGAGGGCAATGCCTTCTATCCTTAACTTTATTTATGCACACTGATTGCAGGATGAACACTCTCGTGCCCATTTGTCAGAATAGTTCAAGCTACATACTATCCAGAGAGTATACTTCAGCCTTGTGGAGTTCCCTCATCATTTGCTGGACGTGTTGATCTTCCAATTGACTGGGATTTGAATAATCGAATTCGTATGATTGCTCTACCTGGATTGAATAACCGTGGGACGAGCATGTCATGCTGCCCGTAGGTGATTTATAGTCCTTGACCTTTTAATGATATGGTTAATGGTCATCAAACAATAATTTGGTAATGGCGAATGTATATTGAGTTGGTTGAACCTTTTATCAGGTACAAAGTGATTGAAATACTGGCTGATGGTGCTTCTGCACTGGTTGAGTAATGTATATTGAGTTGGTTGAACCTTTTATCAGGTACAAAGTGATTGAAATACTGGCTGATGGTGCTTCTGCACTGGTTGAGTAGAGGACGAACTCACCATGTAACATTTATTCGTGTTCATTTTAAATATTTGTCCTGAACTTGCATTTCACCACAGCTGATGCTTTCATGAGTTCTCTATGTTGAAAATTTTTATCCTGAAAATGCATTTGAGCACGCATCATAAGTTCTCTATGTTGATTGTAACAACCTGCATTTTAGTTTCAACTTGATGCAATAGATACCCCTAGAAATTTCTTCATTAGACTGATGATTTGGTATTCATACCTCAAGACCTCTTTTTCTGGTTCTTCTATTATTCTTATGTATTCTAAAAATCTCATGTCATGCGGTGTATGTTCTTTTTTTTTTCTATTCTTGATCATTAAGTCATAAATTTCCTTGATCATATTCCATCAATGTGGACTATTAATATACATATATATCTTGGTTAGTTAATATATCTTGATCTTGCGTTTTGTTGTTCAAGATGCTAAAACAAGATGGGTGGTTAGAGAGCCTAATATATTTTGAAGCATATTGGATCTAGTTAAAATTTATATATCAAAAGCTAAATTGTCCAATCAGCATTTTATTTATATTTGTGGCATGCAAATTTTGATTGTTTAACTTTGGCTTCCACATTGTGTTCATTTCAAAGTCCAACCGTGCAAACATTTATTCTAAAAAATTGTTACTCTTTTGATTTACATTCACTCTCTGAAGTAGATTCATGCACATGCAAAGTCCATGGGAATTCCTTTATTGGGTGATGAGGTGTATGGAGGGACAAAGAGCATGGCCATCTCACTGCTGTGGCCTAGAACCTCACCCAGCTATCATGGTCAAATTTCAGAATTGATTTCTGGACTAGAGAAGCCTTTCCTTCACGCCTTGTCT